TCAAATAGCTTGAAATTGAATGCAAATTCGTGATAAATCATTCTTATAACAAAATAAAAGTATCAAAAATACATGTATATAATTTTTTTCAGTGTGAAGTAAATAGTGTCTCAAAATACGTCAAAATTTACAAAATTATTTTGTAGTTAAAAATTTATAAAATTTTCAATTTTGAAACTTTAAACGTATATTATATTTAATACACAAGTCACACAATGACCTTTTCAAATGCAATGTTTTCGGAAAGAAATAATACAGTCTAATCGTACTATAAACCTATTACTAATAATAAAATTAATTACTTTAAAATACCAAATAAATATATCACAAAATATAGAATGACAAACTGATTTTTACTCATAGTCGTTTTTAGTAAACTATGATTTGTTATTCAATTTAACAGATCCGTTACGATGACTTATTATACTTGTGGAAGACGCTACACTCGACACTTATTATACAACAAACCGAATTTTTCAATTTTTATATTATTTGTATTTTTGTATTGTACCGGCTTAAGAAAAATAATAATAAATGTTTAATACTTTAACAAAACTTATAAATATAAAATTACACATAGAATAAAATTATAGGAACATTAATTATACCCATTAAATTAGTTGAAGATTATAGTTGGCAAACGCAGGTATAGTCATAATTTCCAACATCTAATAGGTGAAATAATAGCAAAGTAAAAATCTAAAAATACCCCTCGAAACTTATTGTTTTAAAATGTCACTGTGACACTGTGCGACCTTGTGAATAGCTAAATTATGATGTAGGATATGTGACATAATATATACAGTTTTATGATATAGTAAAAGTATAGTGCAGCATAGGTTAAATAAAAACAAAAAATAATAAAAATATATTTATTTTTTTTAAACTTTATTTGAATTTTTAATGTTTACATAATGTTTTCGTGCACAAACGTACAATAGTCAATATAAGTAAATGCATTATACATAAATACAATGGCTGTTGAGTATTCTTGGCAATAGTATATAATAAATAGGTTATTACTAGCTGTATATATTGAATAGTGATCGAAGAAAAGTTTCAAGTTTTACACTTGAGAACTCAAACGGTTCAATGACATAATAGGTAAGTAGTAGTATCGACATCAGTACATCACGCGTGTATGTATTCTTGGACTGATTAGTGAGTAGTGCAACAGGTGTTTTATATTTACCGTAATCAAAAACGCGCATGTGTGCCTGTTATCTACGAAAATATGCTGTCCGCTGTGGCGGCGGATATCACAAAACGATATGTACGTACGTACTACAGCAATTGTTTTTATTCGTTTTATTGCCTCTATTGGCCATTTGGATAATGTAAAATAATCATAATAATATGTAATGTTTTTGAGAAACGTTTTTGCTGTACGGCGAACGTGCGTAATGAGTTCAAACACGTTTAATCGTCGGGCATGAACCTACCAGCCCAGATGCCCAGTAATTAGTCAGTTTATCAGTTATTCTGTAGTAGAATGTTATGTGTGTTGACTGTTGATGTTAACGACGCGCAGCAATATAATAAGTCTAATAACGTCGCAGCTGCCGTCGATACGGTATTATTTTTTTTTTTTTTTTTATATATATCTAAAAACGAGTTGCGCTGAAATGACCAACATGGTTTTGAATAATAAATAAAATTACGATTTACATTCGTAATTATGTTGTCACAAACGACTGCCGCCGCCAAGGAGACCATACATTCCGGACATTTTATGGTTTCTAATTTTGAGGCCGAAGCCCAGGACGATGAGTATCAAGTGGCCGTGCCCGTGTCCGAAGAATTACTGACGCGGGCTGACATCAACAATTCAAAAACTTCGTTAAATAATCTGTTCCAGTGTATGTCCGTTGCTTACAGGTAAACTTTACATCAATATACTCGTGAATTAGCTCATAATAAATAGATAATAGCCGAGCAAACATTAATATTATTCTTTTGTACTTGTACAAGTACTGGTATTTCATAATCCTTAAGAATAATAAATATTTAAAAAAATAATATCTTTATTTGTAAATTTAATACAATATTAAACACAAATTATAAATTAATATCAATAATAAGTATAATATATCGATCAAAACTAATATAATATGATAAATATATTTTATTATGATTATTTTATTCAGCAATCTAAATAATGGATACTAAGTCTACAATACAAGAACATTATTTAAATAAAAAATGTTTATAATAGTTTTTTATTATGACTATATTTTATCATATTATGTATTTTATATAATATATATACATATATTTAAATATTGAACTTAGTTAACTTTTTTCACTAATAAAATATAAAGGTATTATAGTATTTAAAATAGTAAGTAATTTATTTTATATTGTGTTGAAATTAATAATTTTCAGGGCTAATTACCTATTTTCATTTGATAATTATTTAAATAAAACCTTTAATTTTTATTTTGTTTTATCATGTAACGCCATACTTTGTGAAAGGTGAATTAGGCCTTTGCTCTGGGCTTAAACAAGCCTTGTTGACATATGTATACGTAATGTACATAAACTAATTGTCAACCTTATATTTTTTTAATAATTATTTAGGTATACCTAATTTCAATTAATAATGAGTAGATATCTATTTAACATAATTTATAATTAATGACATTACAGCCATTGAATTATATAGTGTTCAAATATTCTAATTTTGGATATCACATGGGTAATCATTATTATTAAAAGGACATATCCTTATGTGTCATTAAATATATAACAAACTTTATATTCAGAATAGTTTATTTTACTGTTAATTTTAATATTAAAATGAATTGACTTATTATTAAATGTAACAGTAAAAATATTATCTACGGCCAATGTTGGGTTTTTTATATTTTAATTTTGAAGTTAACTGTTTTATTTTAAAATTTTCATAACTTGCTTCAAAATTAAAACATAAAAAATCTTATGGTGGAGGTTCAAAACAATATTATTACCTGTAGGGCCATACTTGACTTAAATGAACATCAGCAAATTAAGCCTTTCAAGTCCCATTATATTCATTAGGAATAAGCCTGATTTTTAAAAGAAAAATTGTACACAAACACTATTAATTTATTTATTTATGTTGAAATACAGATACAATATTAATAAATGAATAAGTTCTAAAAAGTAGTTAGAGCTCATTATTTAGGCTACAACCAAAACCCATCAAAGTAATTTTTTTGTTAGCATGGGCTCCTTAAAAATAGACTTAAGGGTTGGTGGTGAGTCCCAGATTAATGACCTAAGAAAACTGAAGGTTTGAGTATGACCCTACTTATATGATAAAGTTTATTGTTTTTCTTATCCACAATTTTATTTTTTTAGGTGGGATATACATCCCCATACCATATAAAGGGTTCTTTTTATTTTGCCAATATATTTTTTTATAAATAATTATCTAAATTATTTAGTTAATGCACAACAGTTATTATTTTTTTTTTATTTTGGAAAACAATTTATACTCATCTACTCTAATTTTATAAGTAAAAAAAAATGCTATTTATTATATCAAAGTGCTTTTACTTTAATCATTTTTATTGATTATAAATTAATTAAGTTATATAATTTTGTTTTTACAGCAGTCAAAAAACACACTAAAATCAATAAAAATCAATTAAATTTAATCTCATTTAACTAAACTTAATTATAATTAAAAATAAGTATAATAAATTTATTTGGTACATTATTTTTAATGATTAAAGTATTCTTCTAATTTTTAAAAAAACTATCATTTAATTTGAGAAATAATTTATCTATAAGCTTAAAATTTTTGTAATATATTTTTAATATTTAAAATAAAACTGGTAAAATTGCTA